AATTAATCTTGATTTAGTTTTCACATGACAATATTTGCTAGAAATTTGTCCCTTTGTTCCAGGTTCTCAAGCTTATTAGCATAAAGGTTTGAGAAGTATTCCCTTATAAGAATCTTGGTTTTTTTCTGTGGTGATGTTACCAGTCTCATCTCTGAGTTAGTTTATTGGGTGTGTTCTCTTCTTTTTCTAATAAGATTTGCTAAGGGTCTATCAATTTTGTTAATTTTTTTAAAGAACCAACTCTTCGTTTTGTTGATTCTTTCTATGTTTTTCTAAATTTATTTATTTTAATTTTATTTTTTTCTTCTTGTTTATATTGTGAAAATACTGTACAGAGGGGTTACAATTACATGGGCAAGATAATGAGTACATTTCTTATCAAGCATTAAATTCATTTAATTCTGATTTAATTTTAATTATTTTTTTCTGTCTACTGGATTGGGGTTTAGCTTGTTGCTCTTTTTCAAGGAGGTTCAGATGTCTCATTAGATTATTGGTTTCAGATATCTCCAATTTGTTGATGTAGGAACTCAGAGCTATAAACTTGCCTCTGAGTACTGCCTTTGCTATGTCCCAGAGGATCTGGTAATTTGTGTGTCCATTTTTGTTGAATATCATGAACATTTGAATTTCCTTTCTAGTCTCTTCTATGACCCACAGGTGGTTCAACAGCGTGTTGTTCAGCCGCCATGTGTTACAGGATTTTCTTTGGTGCCTTTTGGTATTGAATTCGAATTTTATTCCCTTGTGGTCTGAGAGAATGCAGGGCATAATTTCAATGTTTCTGAATTTGGACATATTTGCTTTGTGACCTAAAATGTGGTCTTTTTTTGAGAATGTTCCATGTGCTGCTGAGAGGAACATGTATTTGGTAGATGTCTGTGAGGTCCAGTTTATCTATGCAGTTGTTTAGGTCTGAGGTTTCTCTGTTGAGTTTTTGGTGGGTTGATCTATGCAGCAGGGATAGTGATGTGTTAAAGTCCCTAATAATTAATGTCTTTGGATCTATGTGTGATTTTAGGAAAAGCAGTGTGTCTTGGATAAATTTGGGGGCTCTGTATTTGGTGAATAGATATTTAGAATTGTAATATCCTCCTGAGGGAGAGATCCCTTGATTACTATGCAATGACCTTCTTTACTTCTTGCAAATTTTAATTTGTAGTCTATTTTATCTGATATTAGGATTGCAACTCCCACCTGTTTATAGAGGTGTTTGCTCAGTCGATTTTATTCCCACCTTTCACTTTCAAAATGTGTTTGTTTTTGTGAGCAAGGTGTGGCTCTTGAAGGCAGCAGATAGAAGGATCTTGTTTTTGATCCAACTAGACAGTCTATGTTGTTAATTGGAGAATTAAGACCATTAATATTGAGATTTAAGACTGAGAGGTGTTTGGTAGTTCCTGCCATGTTATCCACCTTCATGGAGCTGTGCCAACCTGGTTCTTCCTATGATTCCTGGATTCTCTGGGAGCTGTGTGTCTGTTTGTTTTTTGACCTTTATTGTGCTCTTGTTGGTTTTCTATGTGTAGGACATCTTTAAGTATCTTTTGTATGGCTGGTTTGGTGGAGATCATTCTTTTATGTAGAAGGATTTTATTTGACCTTCTATTATGAAGGACAGTTTAGCTGTGTACAGTATTTTTGGTTGATAGTTGTTTGTCTTTAGGGCATGGCATACATCATTCTAGGCTTTTATTGCTTTAATTGTCTCTTCTGAGAAATCTGAAGTTATTCTGATTGGTTTCTCTTTTTTTAATTTTTTCTTTTTTCTTTTTTGGGTCTGGTCATGGGGCCTGAACTCTGGGCCTGGGCGCTGTCCCTCAGCTCTTCAGCTCAAGGCTATCACTCTACCACCTGAACCTCAGCACCACTTCTGGCTTCTTTCTTTTTGCTTATATGGTGCTGAGGAATTGAACTCAGGGCCTCATGCTTGCAAGGCAAGCACTCTACCACTGAGCCACCTTCCCAACCCCTGGTTTTTCTTTATAGGTGATTAATCTTTTCTCCTTGACAGCTTTAAGGATCATTTCCTTGGTTGGAATTGATCAAGTACAGATTACAATGTGAGGGCAGGATGTCCTGTCGTGGTCTGGTCAATTTGGGGTTCTAAAGGATTCTTATATCTGCATAGGCCTATCTTTTTGCATGTTTGGGAAGTTCTCTGCTAGGATCCTATTAAATAAAATTCCTAGACCATTAACTTCTGTCTCTAGGTGCTCCTCTACACCCATTAGTCTCAAATTAGGCTGTCTGATGGTGACTTCTACATGTTGAATAGATCGATCATATTTCTTGGATTTGTCTTGAATACTTGTCTGTTCTTTCTGTATGATATCTAGGCTGTCTTCAATCCGAGAGATTCGATCTTCTGCATGGTCTAACCTATCAAGACTTTCTATTTTGTTTTTTATTTCCTTACTTTTTAATTGGTCAGACTTGATGGCCTCAAATTCTTTGTTGGAGCTTTGTTTTAGATCTTGTATGGACTGCTTTACTTCCTTAATTTGGTTTTCAGTATTCATTTTCAGATTCCTTAGTTGATTGGTTATGGTTTCATTGGCCTTCCTTTCCTTCTGTTGGTCTTCATTCAGCATTCCATTTGTGGCCTCCCCCTGGATTCCTCCATCTGTCTGTTTGTGGATTCCAAGAATGCCTCCATTAATCTTTGCCATTTCTCATTTCACTCACCAAATTCCTCTGTTACTCTTTGATTAGCCTCTTCATGCTTGTGATATTCTTGTATTAATCTTGGGTATCTGCTGAAATATTTTATATCTACTGTTATTTGATGTTGTCACTTACTCAGTGATTTTAATTGAGTTTCAAGTTTTTCTTAAACACCAAGTCTCTGAAGAGGCAAAGGAGATTATTATTGAAGACTGTTTGGATAATTGATTGAATTTGAGTTGTCATGTGAGTGGAGAAAAACTCCTTACCCATTTCCACGTGTTCAAATAAAGACTCGGGTACATCATATTCAAGTTAGGTAGAACACTAGAGGTAAAGTTTAATGATGGGACTAAATCCAAATTCAGAAAACAGTAAGCTCTCTGCTGAAAGTAGAGAGTGTCCAAGTTCAGAATAATAACCAAGTGAAGTTAGAAATATCAAAGTCCAAATTCATATTTTACAGGTGGAAAAAGCTGAGTTTATTAATGTGTGAGAATAACGAATAAAACTAATTGGTATCAAGTGAGGTTTGTGGCACTGAAGAAACAATTCGAAACATAGGTTTTGGGGTGGGGAATTTGCTTTATTACATTTTATTTTGTAAATAATTTCTAGCTTAAACCTCGAATCACCACATGTTACCTTGTAATAAAAGTCAGATATCTTCTGGGCCCCTTTGACTTATGCCTGTAACCCTAACTACTCAGTAGGCTGAGATCTGAGGATCGTGGTTCAAAGCCAGCCAGGGCAGAAAAGACCCTGTCAGATGCTTATGTCCAATTAACAACTCAAAAAATTGAAGTGGCACTGTGGCTCAAGGAGTAGAGCACTAGCCTGGAGCTGAAGTGCTAAGAGACAGTGCCCAGGCCCAGCTCAAGCCTCTTCACTGACAAAGACAAAAAAAGGTATAAAAATATTTTAAAGTATGTATACATGCAGTAGCAATCATGAAGAGCTATGAACACAAGCTAAGAGATGAACTATGTTCATGAAAAATATAGATGTGATCATTTCAAGTTTGTTTTCATCAAAACTCAGAATTTAACTCATTAGATACTTATGGCATGAACTACCTACCCATATTTCTTGTCTTCAATATCTTCATAATTGACTTTAATTATAAGAAATGTGATGATAATGATAAATCTATGATAAGCATGTAATTTTTGCCCAGAGACTTTATAATGCACTTAAAGTGATGAAAAATATAGGAGTAATGATGTCTTTCATTGAGAACTCATCATCCTTTCTCCAGATTACCCCATTTAGTCTTCCCTGGGGCCTATCAAGTAGTACATTTATTATCTTAATTCCACAGATTAAAAAGAGAGTAAGTCTTAGAGAGTTTAGGTATATTGGTCACAGTCAATCACAGCTTACAAAGATGATCTTGGGAAAAAAATCCTTAACACTCTGAGGCTGAGGATTTTAAGTGAGGAAGACTATAATACAAAATTTATTAGAGGTGACCCTCCCAGGAATCCTGTTAGGCCACCTCACATGATATCCATTAATGTTCTGTTTTGGTATGGATTGTTTTGGCCAATCTCTTCCCATGAAATATAAACTTAAATTAAATATTTCCTGACTTTACCTGGATTATATTTGAATGTTGACACTGCCTGCCAATGCTTTCTGGTGATTTGAATATTTTCTGTCTGGCTCTTTAAGCTCATCACTAGCCCTTTCTCCCAGTTTACTTAGACCGGAAACAATATGTCTGAGTCTCTGGTTGAATGTCTTGGAACTAAAGCCCGTCGGTGTCTTGGGATGGTAAAAAGGGAGTAGTGTTGCAGAGTTGTCACCAGACAAGCTGATGGAAATGCATCACGGGCCTAGGAGTCTAAAGCAGAATTGGACTCAAATGCAGAAATTTCCCCTGGCATAGTACAGTGAAGGCTGTCTAGGATAGAAAACACTGGTGCTTGGCTTCATTCTTTTTTTAAAAAATTCTGGTTAAAGAATCCAAACTGTATTGCTGTATGAGTAATGTCTTTATTGTTCTAAACAAAATGTAATATCCAAGGGGCTTTATTTTTTTTCAGAAAACTTTAAATAAGAATAAAGTATGAATCTAAAGGCTTCCAGTTCAACAAATTTACAGAAATGATCCCATAATACATGGAAGAATCTAAGGAGAAAAAACATACTTAAAACCAATAGCTTCTATGTCACTGTGTAATAGTTTATTATAAAAAAGAGTGAGCTGGTTTTTAGTTCTCTTTGTAATATAGACTACAACTTTAATTCTACTTCCTCACACTTGATTAAATATTGGACAGACATGAGGAGTCATGATTTCCTGTTAAATTTGTACCCATGAGGTCAAAAGGAACAGTCTCTGTCCAGCCAGAGGAACAACAGCAATGAATTCCAAGTATCAGCATGTTGGACTAAATGATGGCCATGCGATCCCACAACTGGGCTTCGGTACCTATGTACCCAAAGAGGTAATAAGAATGCTGATCGGTTTGAAGGTAGAAAAGAAGAATAGATTTAGAAAGACCTGAGGCCAATGTGGATTGCAAAGTCACATATTTCTAGTATGACTCTGGGGTGGTCAACCAGTGCTCAGTTTTCCCAAGCTAGTGCTTGTCATGTACAGGAGAGAACATTGTGAGAGTGTGATCATGTCATAACCTGTTTATTCTGAGCATTGTGCTTTGTACTAATTGGTCATTGATTTCATAGCTGGGTGGGGAAAAAAGAACAGAAGTTAGCAGGCTAAAGCTGTGCATCAGCTTTGATGTCTGGAAAGATACGGATAGCACTAGAATTGGTTTTGTTGTTGTTGTTATTGTTTTGCTTATTTCCTACAATAGAATGTATTGCTTTCTTGTGGAGATCCAGAGAAATCAAGGTGATAAAAGTTAAGTTGTTTCCTAAGATCAATCCTCTTTGATTCTTCTGCCTGGACTTTGATAATTTTTAAGGCATAAAGGTAGGGAAGACTGCAGGACACCACCACATACTCATCTCTGGTGAATCTCCAGGTGCTGTTACACCTAAGAAACAAGTATTAGATCAGGAGTGTAGGAGCAAGAAAAGTTTTGAGCTTGAAAAGTTTCTGAAATTTTTTTAATAAATGTTAAAAAATCTGTGTTTTGGTTTGCCTTTTAAGAACTCATTTACTGAATGAACTTTAAAATTGTGACCCAATATTGGTAGAGGAGGAACTAAGTCCAACCATACCCTCTCTAAATCAAAGAGCTTTAGTTTTGAGGGTTGAGGGCTATACCAATTATCTCTTACATGATGGAGTTAATTGCTTATTTATAAATCTACAACCTTTGAGCATATACTGTTTTCCTCCCAGAACTTTGTTCAATTTTACAGAGAAAATGACTGTACATAAAAATGTTAACAAAACTTAAAAAAAAAAAAAATGTTAACAAAACTTTTATACCGTGTCTCAAGAACACTGACCCTGGATAGCACCTGGGAAATTTGGTATTTTACTGCTTTGTGACCTTTAAGGGTGGTATGCATTTTTTATTGCTTGTATAACCAGAGGCAGAGTTAAGGATTGGAATTTTGGGGCATACTAACAGGGACACGGGCACTAGGTAAATATCACTGGCAAAAATATCCTTTGAAATGACTTGAACTTTCCTTGTAGACATGTACCATGCATTGTCACAATTTAGTGCTCTAGATTACGTTCTATGTCTTTCCAATGAGAACTCAACTAAGCATGGATCATATACCTTCTGTATTTTCTTCTATGCACATTTTTCCTGTGTTCCTTCTATGTTGTAATACTATTATGTAAACCACAGGGTGGTGCTATCTACATCCTGAGTCCTGTAAATCTTTCTAAATCATTCTAGGAATTCATTGGAACAAGAGCTTCTGGAATCTTCCAATGTCACTGATTAATTAGCATTGGCTGGGTTTGAAGTTCAGAGAAAAAGCCAAATTCTATTATTAAGTAGAGACTACCACAGAAAAACAGGTTTGGCTTGATTCCTCCAAGTGCAGAATTAAGTCCAATACAGATAAAAATGAGTTCATGGAAAGGTGCTTATTTCTGTGACCATCACAAATGCTGTTTGGATAACCCTTTGTCTTACAGCAAAGATGGGATTTAAATTCACAGAAGTGTTACCCGGTTACATGATTAAGGGATCTGAAGATGACACTGGAATACGAAAGGCTTTCTAATCATGTTAACTATCTACTTTGTTTCCAATGGGCTACCTCACAACATTTATCTCCAGCTTCTGCTTTTCTTTTCCTTGTTGATCTAGATTCCTAGAAGTAAGGTATTTGAAGCCACCAAAATAGCTATAGATGCTGGCTTCCGGCATATTGACACTGCATATGTGTACGAAGTGGAAGAGGAAGTAGGGAAGGCCATTCGAAGCAAGATTGAAGAGGGCACTGTGAAGAAAGAAGACATATTCCTCACCTCAAAGGTATGCTGCCTACAATAGGTAGATGCACATTTATTGAAATGTGATTTGGGGAAGAATTACATGATTGGAGCAGTAGTTGGAAGAATTGTTTTTGGTGCTACTATTGTTATTCATGTGCTTTTCACATGTAAGGTTTAGTATTAAAAACAGGGTCAAATAATTACTACCTTACTCTCTATGAATTGATAGGTTGGCAGACACTTCAACATTCAAAGTCTCAACTTGAATCATTGTTTTAACGGGTCCTATAGAACCACTCAGATCTATGGTCAAATCACAATGTTCTTCATGTCCAGAATAACTTTCTAAAATGTTATTTTTACAATTTGGAACCTTAAATCTTAACTTTATTCTTGGAAGAGATCAGTATGAGAATTTACTGGGTATTAAACAAAACATTGCTAAAGTGGGTTTTTTTTGCCCAGTACATTTTAAAATATTCAAATATCTTTCCTTTCATTGATGGAAATAAAGGTATGTGGATATGTCTACACAGATTTGAAGAGATGAGATGTTTAGACAAATAGTAATTCTGCAATCTCTTTGGAATAGGATTCAGAGCTTGGACAATTTTATTGATTGACCAAAATGCTATCTCAAGTAATTTCTTTCCATTGACCAGCAAATTATTTTAACAGTGACATGGCCCTGACAGGTCAGGGAAACCTAAGAATAAAGGCATTAATTTTCCCCTATGGACACCGATATCTTCCTAGTATAAAACTTCTCTGAATTTGGTGAATCAGATTCTCAATTGAGGTAAACCATCAATCCAGCACAATTTGTATTTTTTAACATTTGCAGCTCTGGTGCACATTCAATCGACCAGAGCTAGTCCAGTCTTGTCTGGAAAGATCACTGAAGAAACTACAGTTGGATTATGTGGATCTCTACCTTATTCATTTACCAACTTCATTGAAGGTAGGCTATTTGCATCATCTAACTGAAGCATATAACTGCATATGTTCACGATAATTATTTCCAGAAATGAGTGAGAAGAAGCTTTGATCATCAATTTATGTAAGCTTTGGTTAAAAATTGATAGAATGACCCAGGATATTTCATATGAGTTTATCGAATTATGTAAATAGACAGGTGAATGAATGGATAGATTTAGATTTACTCTTCAGCTATTTCTTTTTTCTTTTTTGTCGGTCATGGGGTCTGAATTCTGGGCCTGGGTGCTGTCCCTCAGCTCTTCATCTCAAGGTTAGTGCTCTACCACTTGAGCCACAGTGCCACTTCTGGCTTTTTCTGCTTATGTGGCACTGAGGAATGGAACCCAGGGCCTCATGCAAGCAAGGCAAGCACTCTACCACTAAGCCACCTTCCGAGCCCTCAGCTATTTCTGTTTCTCCTTCTCTTACATTTTTATTACTGGAGGCTTGCTTGTGTTTTGTCCCAGTGTTGCCCGCAATGGCAAATAATATTTGGATAGTTCATGTGTCCTGACCCTTACCCTTTGATAGCTTGATTGCATCTTTCAGTATTAGAATCATTCTCTCTGACAATTTTGGTTAACCATTTTTTGCTTCACTTATTTGCCTTGGCCTCACATGTATTCAAATCTTGAAAGAATACTGATTATCCTGAATCAAGATTGAAATCCATTGTTGTGGAAGATCAAGACCATGTAATTGTTGACTTTCCCAGTGAGAGAGAAGTATTTCCCTGGAGAAAGTGAAGCAGAGAAGTAACACAAGTCCCAGGGAGATCTCTTTGGGATGGGAAACCAATATTTAATAATACTTATAATTGATAGGGGATTACAACTACCTAGACTCCTAAAGACATTCCTTATTACTCTCATTCAAGCATCTTTATAAACATAAGTAAGTGGAGGAGTTCTTCATTAATGCTCATTTGCTGTTTCATTCCTGAAGTGTCCAAAGGACCATGGCTCTGGGTAGGATGACAGTGCTTGGTGAGGTTGCTGTAATGTCTGCTTTTATTGCAGCCCGGAGAAGAAGTCTTTCCGAAAGATGAGCATGGAAAATTGAAATTTGACACAGTGGATCTCTGTGACACATGGGAGGTGAGTACTTGAAGAATAGACCCGAGAGGATGCCTAGAGAGTCAGGTCATGTCTCCAACTCCAAGGATGGAATCTGTACCTTTGAAATTGAGAAACTCATGACATTTACAATGGTGTTTTGCAGGAGTGATAGGGAGGAAACATGAGCGGAAAGTAAAAGACATGAATGTCTGAACAGAATTGATGACAAGAAGAGTGATCTCTTGCTTCCTTACGCAGTGATGTCTCTATTTCTCCAAGGAACACACAAAATTCTTTCTTTTATGTGACTATATTCTCCAAATGTCTTGACCATTTTTCTTCTACCAACAATCATATGTAGTCAGTTCATGGTTTATTGATAGTGTTTCCTTCATCAGCTCCATTTTGCATTTATATTGATTCTACCAATGGTACAGATGGATCGATAAAACTCCTTCCTTTTTAGGCCATGGAGAAATGTAAGGATGCAGGATTGACCAAGTCCATTGGGGTATCCAACTTTAATCGCAGGCAACTGGAGAGGATCCTGAACAAACCAGGGCTCAAGTACAAGCCTGTCTGCAACCAGGTGAGTTCCTGCTTCCTCTTCTCCGTCTCTTATTCACTGACTTGTTGCTGTGTTTCTGCCAGCTATTACTTTTACCTTCGCCCCTGTTTAACATACTTTTGTGGAATGGAAGATTCTAAGAACAAGGATAGGGGGGATGGCTAACTGTGTCTCTGCCTAGTGAGAGGTTCATAGTGTCCAGTGAATGGAAGAATCTTGAGGATGTAAAAGTCATCAAGGTGGGCTACACTCATTAGACTTCAGAGGCAAAGTACTTATTGTTGGCCTATGAATGATGGCGAGATTGGATTGACAATGGTGTCATGTATAAAAAACAAGGAAGTCCCATAAAATCACCAACTTGGAAAGGAGCAGTGGGAGAAGGAAGGAAGTGTGGAGATCCATGTGAAGGGCCTGTGGAGTGGATGCTTTGTTACTTTGTGCTGTTGTGTCTGGCTTCAGGATTCTTGGCTAACTACATAGGTGCATGGAGAGTAAAGCGGGGGCTGCCAAAATGATCACACAGATCAGGTATCTGTTGGTGGAGACCTTAGTGAAATCCATACATGAAAACTTAGAATAAAACACAGAGGTGACTCAATGCCTGAAAACCTCTAAGTCAACTTCTCTTTTCTGCTTTGTTTTTTAAAATCACATCTAGTCTGTGCCTGGTTTGAGCCTCTATATTAATATCTTCAACAGCTTAAAGTCCTTACACCTGTGACGTAAAAGTGTTTTGAACACAAATCTGGTCATACTGTTTAAATTTGTGGACAGTGACACAATCCTAAGATTTCCCAACATGAATGTGAAGGCAGTTTCATTATAAGTTTTATCAAGACTTTTGTAATGAAATTTATCAAGCACTTGGAATATTCATATTTTCCAAATTTCATGCCAATTATTCAACACATTTGTTTTTATTCAACATTATTTGTTAGAAAGTAAACATTACATTATTTTGATCATTTCACTTCAAATTGAATGTAACACATTTTTATTCAGGTTTGCTTACTCTTAATTTTTCTTCTTGATCAGTGCATAAAATTTGCATATAATTCCTGTCATATCCATCTACAGGTGGAATGTCATCCTTATCTCAACCAGAGCATACTGTTGGATTTCTGCAAGTCCAAGGACATTGTCCTGGTTGCCCATAGTGCTCTGGGAACTCAACGAGAGAAACAACGGTAATCCAATAAAATATTTACCAAAACACGATTCTGAATCAAATATTTTGATTTGTGCTTAGTTTTCTGGCATTGATTTTGAACTATTTTAGGAACCGGGGAGAATTGCATTTCTAGCATGGTCCCTCATATGACCGATGCTGATGGATCAAGAGATTGCATTTGATGACTTGGTCTAGAGCAGGCATCCTCAAGCATATTGGAGCTCTGCAAACAAATAGAATACTCCGTCTGCAGTTCAGCATTTCTGTCTTTCTTTCCAGGGTAGACCCCAATGCCCCATTTCTTCTGAAGGACCCAGGTCTTGGGGCTGTGGCAAAAAAGCACAATCGCAGTCCAGCTCAGATTGCCCTTCGCTACCAGCTGCAACGTGGGGTTGTGACCCTGGCTCAGAGTTTAATAGAAAAAGAGATAAAAGAGAACATACAGGTGATAAGGGGGTACTGTGGGCATTAGGTCTCCTGCATAGAATGTGCAGGTGAGGGGGTGCTGTGCTGCGGTCATAGTATTCTTCATTTGGGTGTTATCTTGGAACTTCTTAGCACCATTTATGGGCCAAATTGTTTTCCCTAGAATTTCCTGTACACGCGTGATTGACGGTGTTCTTGGACATCATATTTCTGTGTATATAATGGGAGAGACAGCACAGTTTGAGAGACTTAGGGCTGGAAAGAGTACAGAGAATTTAATCAGCCAGGTGCTCTACAACTATTCTAATATGAGAAATTTTTCTACCTATACATCTTGCAATATGATCCACCTCTGAGGCAAACAGGTTGAATACAGAGTACATCCATTTAGGTGGAGAATGCATTGTTGGACAATTTGTTTGGCCTTAGCCAAATGAAGTCCTTTGTATGTTGGAACCTCTCCTGTATTTACAATAAATTCTCTAATATTTACTGGACAAATGTATCAGGATGCTGATTGGTTATTGCATAGTAGCTCTCAGCAATTCTCCATGTGGTTTGTCATTCACTAGAAAACTAGACCAAAGATTTCTTCTCATATAATACTATCCAAAGTAGGTAAGAAGAGAATTGCCAAACTGTTTCATGCCTTAGATCAGCATTAGCACATAATTCTTTTGCCAAGCTCTAATGGACAATGCAGTTTACAAACCAAGCAACATTAAATGAGTGGGGAAATAGCATTCCTTAGGAGAAGAGTTTGTCAATGTATACAGCAAAGAGTGTTGGAGACATAGGGATATGTATTTCTGGAGGAGCAAGTTTGCATCTTGTCATTAATGTACATTCTCGAGAGTGTTTTGCACATTCATATATATTTGTTGTAGTAGCTTCTCAAAATTTCTATCGATAATTTTATTTGATCTTGGGTATATTTTACCTAAGCAAAAGTTCCTTCTCTAACTATAGTCATCATGACTTTATAGTTGATGTAGTTGATGACTGTCCTGTCTTTTCTTTGGAATACAAGAATATTCTCCCAAATTATCTCCCAAGAGTTTGACGGTTTTGCTTCCAAAGACTAATTTTGCTGGTTCTTTAGAGGTAGTATGTCACAGACTTTTCTGTCTAGACTAGCATTGAACCATGAGTTTTAGCATTTTAACCTCCTTGATAGCTAATATTTCATTAACATTTGGGCAAACTGTGAATTAAACCCCGTGGAAAAGAACATGGTCACATTTTAAGTGTATGCGGTGTGATAGAGACACCTAACATTGTCCTTAACAATTGCTAAGTTATCTCGCATACATAAAAACCTTTTCAGTAGTAGCTTTGTTAACTTCTATGTACATTAGACTGCAATCAAAACTATATCAACTTTGTTCATGCCCACTGTCTTTTGTGATACCTTCTGTGTATAATCTTCTAGTGAATCAACATATTTTATCTCGAATGTATTTCCCCTTTAGCTACTTGAGTGTTTTGACTTTGTATTATTAAATCTGTTTTACTTGAATTTCTAAGATTGGCAAATGTACAATTTAAGAATTGTAAAACTTGTCTACTTGTATGATAGGCTTTTGATTTCCAGTTGCCTTTAGAAGACATGGCAGTCCTAGAAGGCCTGAACAGAAATTTTCGATATCATCCTGGTGTTGGGTAAGGAACTTTGGCAAAAATATTTTCTGAATTTTCTTTAGTTTCAAGTCTCTCCTTTCTTTCTTTCTTTTTTTTGTCCTTATGGTCCGGTCGTGGGGCCTGAACTCTGGGCCTCTGCGCTGTCCCTCAGCTCTTCATCTCAAGGCTAGTGCTCTACCAGTTGAGCCAAAGCACCACTTCCGGCTTTTTTTTTCCTTTTTGCTTATGTGTTGCTGAGGAATTGAACCCAGGGCCTCATGCATGCAAGGCAAGCGCTCCACCACTGAGCCACCTTCTCAGCCCATTCCTTTCTTTTTCAAGGTACATTTGTTCAGAACCCAAACATTACATTTTTCTTTCAGGGAATTTCCACTGACATTGCCACTAGGACATTTAGTTTTGTGTTTCTGAACTATAGACATCTCAGTGCAGAAGATAAAGATGTTTTTGAGAAGAGAGATTTGATATCTAAGGAAGAGTGCATACTTAAGTTTTTCCATTGCTGAAGAGAATGTAGAGTTCAAGAGACCATTAACAGTTCTTTATGTTCTGGGTTATAGACTAATATTTGACAAATATCATAAACAAAGGTAAACAAGAAATGCATATCTCTTGTGCCTACAGGATTTTAACTTATAACAGAAATAAATATGATCATATTTGAAAGGAAATTAGACAATCTTTGTTCACAAGACTTAGTATATGTATTGCTCCATTATTGTTAATATTTTTGTTAGTATAGAAAACAGGGAAGGACCATGTAGGGACATAATGCAAAGAGACAAAACATTCTTGTCAATTACTGTGTTAAAGAATAATGATTTTTTTTTCTTTCTAGTTTGTGTGGTATTGATATTTAGAAACCTACCAATTGGATGGTAATCTGGAAATGGAGAACTATCTTAAGTGACATTCTCTCCATACTTGAATTTAACACAGTTGGTGCACCCTAAATTGTTTTCTGTTAGTTAATATTAGATTTGTACTTCACAACACCTGACATAACCAGTTTCTACATTCACTGAGAATTTGAAATAGGATAGGCTTTCTTTGCTTTTATTGCTTAGGAAGTTAGACAGATATAGGGAAAAGAGAGTCACATCAGCCAATGCTTGTGTGTTTTGTGTATCTAGTCTAAGCAGAGAATGCATGATGAATAATTTAGTTATGGTATCTTACAAGAATTTCTTATAGGGCTGGGAAGGTGGCTCAGTGGTAGGGCGCTTGTCTTGCATGCATGAGGCCGTGGGTTCGAATCCTCAGCACCACATAAGCAAAAAGAAAAAACCCGGAAGTGGCACTGTGGGTCTTGTGGTAGAGCACTAGACTTGAGCCAAGGGACAGTGCCCAGGCCCAGAGTTCAGGCCCCATGACCGGATCCAAAAATAAAAATAAAAAAAGAATTTCTTATAAAGCCATATTATTCCTTAGTGTAAATATTAATATTTAATGAGTGGTATTTATTATATCTAGTTAGGGAATAAAATTCTAACTTTTACCATAGTGATACATAGATATCACATCTTCTGTAGAAATGGGATGATCAAGCCCATGATGCTTATATTTTCCTTTCTCATTTTAGATTTGTTGACCACCCTAATTTTCCATTCTCTGATGAGTATTAACACGAAAGCTCTTTTCAAGATCTTGCCTGAAGTTATCTGGAGATCGATGGACAATTTTCAAATGCTGATGATTGGACCCATCACTTGTCAATTCATCCTGCTTAGAAATTCACACTCAGCTTAAACTAAATCCACAAATTTCGTAGAGAAGGCATTGAATTTGTTATCAAACAAATACGAGATTTTTCCCATAGATCTATGATTATCTCAAGACTTGTGTGACTTGCTTCTTTTTGAATATAATGACTGAAAAATGATTTGATTTAGTCTGTGGTAAGATGTCAGGAAACCCTTCTCTGGGTCATTTTGGGGCTCCAGAGAAATATCAGTTAGCAGGAAGTTATCAGTAGGTATTCCCAACAAACCACTGAGCTTAGTTCATGGTTCTAAGTCTTGAAGCTAAGGTACACATTGCAAGGATATATTATATAGCTCTCTACCAGGCAGGATATAGCACAGCTACTGGAATTTGAGAGGTATTCCTGTGGGAGGCTTAGGTAAAGATGTTAGAGGGAGAACCATGCAGGGAAGATAATGAGGAAGGAGGAAAGGTGTAGCCCGAATAGGTTGAATTGAACTTATCTGTGCTTGGGATGTACTGTCAAATGCCTTTTTGCAGAGTAGACCCAAAAGATAGAAAGGATCTTTCATAGCCTGGCGCTGGTGGCTCACGCCTGTAATCCTAGCTACTCAGGAGGCTGAGATCTGAGGATCGCAGTTCAAAGCCAGCCCGGGGAGGAGAGACCATGAGACTCCTATCTCCAAGAAACCACCAGAAAATCGGAAGTGGTGCTGTAGCTCAAGTGGTAGAGTGCTTGCCTTGAGCTGAAGAGCTGAGGGACAGCGCCCAGGCCCAGAGTTCAAGCCCCACGACCGAAAAAAAAAAAAAAAAGAAAGGATCTTTCATACATTTTACCCAGTGCCAATCTGAGACATGCCTAGCATTAATTATAAAAGGAAAAATGGGAGCCAGGTGCCGGTGGCTCACGACTGTGATCCGAGCTACTCAGATGGCTGAGATTGGAGGATCACGGTTCAAAGCCAGCCAGGGCAGGAAAGTCCATGAGACTCTTATCTCCAATAGGCCACTAGAAAACCGTAAGTGCCCCTGTGGCTCAAGCAGTAGAGTACTCACCTTGGGATGAAAAGCATAGGGACAGCAAAGAGGCCCAAAGCTCAAGTCCCACGATAGACCAAAAAAAAAAAAAAAGGAAAAAATGGGAATTATTATTTGCAGTATATCTGAAAGCAATGTATTTTAGCGATCATTAATTGACATGATAACTAGAAATTCCTTGGAAATTCAGCACATCGAGTACCATCAACAAAATGATAGCACTTTCTGTGCTTGTACAGAAAGTATACTTTACACTTCCAATTTATATTAGACAGATTGTAACAAACATGCAACTGTGTCCACCAACAAAGTAAATAGCCAGTCAAGAAAAGTAGAATCCAAAATGCTAGGCAATTTCATTGTGCTTTTTCCCACTATTGTACAAAGCTACCTAGCAACAGTAATTTTATTCATCCATTTGGAATAAGGATATTCCAACACTTGCAAGGGAATGGATGGAACTAGAAAAAATGGTTATGTGAAATAAGTCAAGCCCAGTGAGACAAAGGACAAATGTTTTCTCTTCTACATGGAATCTAGAATTAACTTGTAAATGTCTTAGCAAACCCATGAAGGTCATATATTAGACACCACTATACTAGACAAAATATGACATTTTCAGGGGAGAATTCAAATGGGACAATTTCTTAGAAAGACTAACACATACTTCAACAAAATGAATACCAGGAAACACTTGCAATGTGGCGGCCAGGGTCAAGAGCATAGCAATTGACAAGGAAAGAGAGGAAGTTGAGGAGGGAGTGAGCATGCAGCCATAAAATTTAATCCATATCCTACAAAATTAGGAAAATGAAGAAATAGGAGGAATGGGTGGAATGACAAAAGGAATGCCACTAATCAAGATGCATTGATTCTACTTACAAACTGTTGTGTCAAATTAATTCCTTTGTACGACAGCTTAAAGATAATAAAACCATAATTTAAAAATTCGGAAGAATTGTACTGAAGATGCTTCAACTTTTGGACTACACTATGGCTATCGACTCTAAAACACTAAAACACTTTGCTTTATTTTTACATCCATGATTACATCTATATTTCATATATACCCCTGAAATTACATGACATGTCAGAGTGATCCCATTTAGCTTGTTGGGGTCTAATTGGAGAGGAATCATTACTAGGTGAGAAGCTCTTCCAACACTGGCAATCACAGATCTTTGAATTTCTAAGGCTTGGTAAGTGGATTGCCAACCTCAGAGATTTCCAGCTCAAATCCCTGAGACTATGAGCCTAAACTCCTGATGTCCACATCCAGAGTCCTATGCAGGTTGAAGGCTCATTACTCTAGCCTTTAACCACCAAGGGTCCTATAACTTGGTGGCAATTGTACTGCTTGATACACAGCAGCAATGGGAAGTGGCAGCAGACAGCGGTAAGAAGGAACAGGTGACCATTTCTAATATTATGTCTCCAGTTGTCTTCAAGTCTCACAAGAACAAACCTTACAACTCTTGCATATAAGGAACTAGGATTCTAAGCCCTTGGTAGAAGTATATATTCCAACTTTGAGACCAAGAGCATTTGATAGCTTGATCCCTAAGGCTTGCAACAATTTGGAAAAATGACCAGAGCCAGAAATTTCTCTTTTCTAGTTCATTTCAACCTTCTGCCTTTCTTCAGGGAAAGATTGTGTTTTTGGTAGTTTTCTTTTCTTTTGGAGGTCCATTCGGTCACTCTGTGTCTTTTAATTGATAAAGTAAGACAATTGACATTCTGAAGATTATTGAAAGAGATAATATATGTGAAATATGTGCTTGTTTCTAGCATTTTGCACGTCTTCTGTTTGCAGTATCTGTTTGTATTTTCCTGATTTGTTGTAGAAGTTGATAGCTCTTTTCCATTTCATGTATGGTAGTGAGGTGAAATTTTACTGCTTTAGTAGTTTCTCAGAAATTTTGTATGCTTTGTTCATATAAATTGTTAAAAATATTTCTTCTTGAATTTAACATATTGAATGACTTATATTTAGGTGCAGCTATTCTTTCTTCCTCTTGATCTAAGCTATTGCTGTGTCTATCATGCAAGATGGTATAAATCTTGCATATGGAAATTTTTTCATTTCCAAGGTCTATTCTGGCATTTTCTCAAAATCTCAGCCTCCTTACTAAATTTGTTCATATTTTGTTCTATTTCTCTTCATTCTACTTAAATTTGCTACTATCAGATATAAAACAGAGAGTTAATTCTATTTTCTTGTATTTGCTAATACTTGCTTTAAGCCCTAAAATATGATCTACATTGGAGACAGTTCTATGGACTGCAGAGGTCTATTTTTCAGCTGTTGGAGGAAATATTCAACACCAAGGACCTGATTTCCAGCCCCTGTACCAGCATTCATGCACAAAGACACACACCCTACAAAGTTACTTATAGAAAACTGGAGTCAAGTGAGCAGAGAAGTAGACTTCACAATCAGTTTGTTGAGAAACTACCCTGACTTATGATGTGTGGCACATGTGGCACAAAGGATTTCTGGTCATTTGTCCAGCCTTTCACATAGAGAAAATCTATCATGTCCAGTAGAGGAGTTGGAGGTTAGAATTCATGCAAGGTTTACATTAAAATAAAAGAAACGTCCTCTCAAGAAAGGTGAACAATGAGGTCACAACCGTGAAATGCAACCCAGGTCAGTAAGTCAAGTCAGGAGATAGCATAACGCTGCAATATGTTGTGTGGGAGGAAATCTGCCAAAGTGTAATTGTGAATAGGGACAATTTTAAAATGAAGATCACCAAGTGAGTTTTGAGACTAGAGAAAGGGCAATTGATATTCAAGTATTCAGTGCTGGCTATCTTCCAGGGTATTCTATTTCTTTCCCATTGTCCAGGTCAGGACATTTCTCATTTTACTTGTAAACACTTTTCTTTGATTATAAAACCAATAAACATTAATTTCAAAAGCTAGAAAAACATAATTAAGGGGTTGATTGTACATTCTTGATCCACCATTCAGAAATAATCACTACTTATTGTTTTCATCTTGCACATTGTATGATTGTAAGACTTATTGACTGAGAATATTCTCATCTCTTGACTAACCCATCAAGGCCCTTCTCCTTACATTTTAAAGTTCTCCAACAATCCATATATGAAATCGGGTAAGTTGTCCATTAATTAACAAATGATGAGGCAATGCCCTATATATTCTTTTTTTTTTTCAGGTAAGGGGTAGGTTTATTCATTGTTCTGGCTGGCAGCAGGCCATGTTGGCCCTCCATGTGGCTGGGAAAGGCCTGGGAAAGAGAGCTGGGAAAGAGAGAGAGCTGGGAAAGAGCTGGGAAAGAGAAGAGAGTTGGGAAAGAAAGAGAGCTTGGAAAAAGAGAGAGATGGGAAAGAGCTGGGAAAGAGAAGAGAGCTGGGAAAGAAAGAACATCAATTATTCAGCTGCTGTCAATCTACAGGTTCTTTACAATTTCAATCAAAATCATAAATCCTTTAGCTGAACTCCAGCTGCAGATTCAGTGCAATTTCCATGAAAATTGCAATGTCATTCTTCACAAGATAGAAAAATCTACCTTAAAATTAATAGGAAAGCATAGAAGACTCCACACAGACCAAGCAATCCTAACCAAAATAGCAACCCTGGAAGTATCACAATACCAGACTTCAAGTTATATTACAAAGACGTAGTATCAAAAACAGCATGTTATTGCCACAAAAATAGATACAAACCCATGGAACAGAGTAGAAGACCTGGAAATAAATTCTGCAGTTACAGCCATCTAATTTTTGGTAAATGAGCCTAAGATATACACTGTGTAAAAGATAGCTTCTTCTAAAAAATGGTCTTGGCAAAACTTGCTTTCTAAACGCAGGAGACAGAAAGTAGATCACCATCTTACACCCTATACATGGATATATTAGATCCAAGGAAATTTAAGATAAAATGGAATCATTTCACCTGTGGTCTTCTATTTCTAACAATTAGATTAATGTTTCAGTATTTGGTGAAGTGAACTTGCAAATTCAGATTCTTAGTTAACTATTAAAAAATTTTTTAAATTTTTATACACAATGTACAGAGGGGTTACTGTTTAATGTCAGGCAATGAGCACATTTCTTTTTGGACAA